CAGGTCTCTGGCAGCTGTGCTCACATGGTTGGTATATAAAAACTACTATAAGGAAAAGGGCTGAATAACAATAAAGTAAGATAAAATAAAATAACAAGCCTTACTTTGATTTTCATTTTAAGCTGAATAAAACACAGGATTCAAATGGGTAGGTATGGCCCATTTTACTCAGTATATTTATAGGATGCAGAGGAATCAAATATTTCTTATGCTTAATATTAGCATTTAGTACTCTTACACATTTTCAAAAGAGCAGTTCATGAGTCTCTTATAATTTCCTATCTTCAGAGCATGTTTTTGTTTGAAAAAAAAGAGGAAAAGCTTCAACTGAAATTGAGTTCTTACTTCAATTTTACATCTCTCAACCTGCTAGACTGAACAGGTAAGCATGATGGTTTAAGGAGGGAGGGATCCTGAACATAGAATACATAATAGGTATTCAGGTTATGTTTGGTGAATAAATGGATTGAAAGAATGGGATAAACAAAAATGGGAGTATAAAGTAAAGCAATATTTCTGTATTAGTAATAATCATTTATATTTGATATCTTTTACTTCCATAAAGATACAATTAAAATGATCTATACTTGCAAATATGTACTAAATCTATAAGAAAATGTATATAATTAAGCAAACACATAATACAATCTATAAGCACAGATGATCCCTTTATTTCTGAAGAAGCTAAGAGCTGGCAGAAATACCAGTACACACACATACACACAGAAAGTGAAAAGTTATTATCTGTGCTAATTAATATTCCTGTTGTTCTGTTTATTAACAGTAAACTTTTATTAGGATTTTATACATATTCACTGTAGAAATCACGATAAGAGAAAGTAAAGAAGGGCACACGGAACTATTGACAAAACTTATCACATGATAAACCAAAAGGCAAGACTCAAAAAAATGTCAAAATAAGGGCTGGGAGTTTAGCTCAGTGGTTCCGCCACCTGCCTCACAAGCGCAAGGTCCCAAGTTCAAACCCCGGTACCAAAAAAAAAGAAAGAAAAAATATTGATACATGCCA